AATTAAAAATTAAAAAAATAAACCGAGAAGAAAAATATGGTCTTCCATAATATTGAAGTTTCAATAAAAATGATTCGAACAGGAAAAAAATTGGAAAGCATAAATCACTAACTTTTTGTTGCAGTCTTTTTAGGCTTTCACATATTTTTCTAGTACGAAAATATAATAAAGTTTTTTAGTTGTAATAATTCCAATAAAAATGTATATCACTTCTAACAGATATAAGTAGAAAATATATATTTACGCGTAGTTATTCTATAATCAAAAGAAGTTTACTCGATAGGTGTTCTCAGCTGTCATGAGGTTCAATGAAAATCATCGTATCCCCATCACCTAAGTACTATGGTATAGTAATATAACAGCAAACAATACTGTTTATATATCCGCAAGTTAGATATGGCCACACATATAAATAAAGGAAATAGAACTATGCCTTTAATGTCAGTAAAGCTACTAACAAATAAAGATTTTGACCGAATTTCTTGGAGAAAACCAGATTTATTATATAGCATAGAAATCTAAGCAAACCAACTATCGCCTGCAGTTATACCGATAGAGTTAATAATAGTACATTTAGTCTCTTGGTATGGGTCAAAAGGCTACATGTAACAGTATAAGATTTTTGTTCAAACTGTGACGACAAGGCGGTAAGAATGAATGTATGGTATATGGTCCTATCCTACTTCAATAACCTTAAAACTATATAACCTAGAGATATTGTCTGCAGATAACATGTGATCTGTTTGATTTTTGACAACTTTTCAATTGAAAGCCATTAAAGAATTAGAGTTTAGGTTCTCAAAATAGGGTTGAAAGAAGAAAATCGTAAATAGATAATAGTTGCAAATGTGATTTGATCTAAACCCATAGTAAACTTTTTTATTTTTCGTTAAAAGAAGTGGTTTAATCGAGATATGAGAAAGACTATACCATGCAATATGGCTAAAATATCATTGCACCATCATTGTAAATTAAGAAAATCTAACGAGACTAACACAAACGGTTTTAAAAAGTAAACCACTTATACTCTCTCACTCCGGTAACATATCAGATCAAAAGTAATGTGTAAATAATAATGATTTAGATGAAGAGGAAAGTAGGCAGACTTTACTATGCTACAATTTACTAGGCAATAAAAATAAGTAAATACCAAATTAACATATATAATGAAATAATAAAAAAAAATTCATTTGAAATTAAAAAAACCTAACACAACAATGTGAAGTCAAGATATTATAAAGTAGTAACATTGCGCATCTGTTCATATAAGATTTTTATTGTCACTTATAACAGATTAATGGCATTTTCAAATCCACTCCGATAAAAGGTAGGTGATTTTGTAAGTTAGTAAAAATACATTGTTCAATGACATAAATTGCTACTATAATGTTTATTAAAGAAAGAAGTTCCGGGTGCGCCAGAAGAGTGGGGTCAATATGGTGTACAGTGATTTAGGTTGGTTTATAACCGCAACCCTAAGTATTAATATTGTATTACCATATTAAATTCGAAGAATTTTATTAAACAACTGGTACCTTACACTAACCTTAAAATGCTTTTTTAAGAGATCTTCAGAAGACTCTATTTTCTCTAGAAAGTAGGTTCCTAGCATGTCAATTCTTCTTCATAGAGATTTCAGAATAATGCAAAATTTTAAAGTGAAGAATTCAGGAAGCGAATTAAACAAATTAATCTAAAAGGAATTTTATGGACATTGTACTAAAGCCATAATATTATTTGAAAGATTTAACTAATCTAATTTTTTAACTAATTGTTCAAATGGGTTTTTACCATTTATTTACCTACAGAGTTCTTTAATTGTGATAATGCGAACATAAAATGTACCGCACCAAGAAGAGCACTTAAAAACATATTTAAACGTTGTCTAACTTTTCGTATAGATACACTAGCACAGCGGTCACTATCACAATTTACTGAAGACAAAACTCATTAGCCATAAAAAATCTCTAAACGCTTATTTGGCGGTAAAATCATAAATTAGATTTTTACACGCGGTTAACGAGATTGATGGGTTCAATATGATTTGGTTTAGCTACATTGGCCTCTACGTATAATTTGTTATCTAAAAAAATGTCTACAGATTGATAGATGAATGGAAATTTGGTGGTGGTACTGCATTTTAGTGATTACTGGGAATAGAGAGAAAGAGTTAATAAATGGTATAATTTTTCATATAAATGGTAGATTCGTATGTTAACTTCACAATATTTTAGGTGTTAAGTTTTGGAAGAAATTATGAAATTTGAAAAACAAAACAAAAACCGAACTAAATGTTTAAAATTTAAGAAAAAAATGTTAAAAAACTCATTTTTAAAAAACCAAATTTACAAAAGGAATCATTAGAACAAACAAACAAAAAAATAGTTTCCGTACTTAATGCTAGAGCTGCTTGAAATTATAGTTTTTAAGGTACATACATTTCACTGTCGAAAACTATTCCGCATTGCTGTTCCTTACGCCAAATTACTCCAGTTTAACGATATCCCTGACTCTTTTTTTTGATGACAAAACTTTGACGATATGACTTTGGTAAGTTTATTGTCATGTTGAGGTCGTTCATGTGTTAAACACCCTTAGAGACTGATATCTGTATTAAATGACTTACTGCTGAGTTATGACGTGGCTCAAGCACTTTAGTACAAAGACGTCATACAGAAATTAACCCTACACCCGAACGATATATATAAGCCACAAATGCACTGATAGCAGCAATCAGTTGGCGTCGTCTGTTGCCGCTTCCATGACTTGTGGCGCCGGAATAACTCAAATAAACTTTTTATGGATTTTTTTATTTTGTGTGAGTCTTCGACTGCTGCTCAACTGACAGTCATTAAATAACTACCTTAGAGCAATGCTATATTTTATAATTCTTCAATAAGTGAAATTGCTGAAGCTAAAACTAATTATTTAATTATGACACAGAAATATTTGTGTTGCATTAGTGACGGTTCGTGTTCGTCATTATATGCATTTTTTACTTACTTACTTTAAATTGATGTAATTTTTAGTGGAAGAGATACAGTTGGATCTACCACATTCATATATTAAATAATATTAATTTAAGTGAATGTATAAAAAACTTTACTTTTGAGGTAAATTAATAATTAATTTTGTTGTATAATTTATTACATAACGAAGTTATAAAGAGGTTTTTTTCGAAAAGCAGTGAACTACAACAACAAAAATTCATTTATATATTATTTTTAATTAATTTAATTTTTGACCGACCATACAGCTGTTTCGAGTATTGCCAAATATCCATCATTAGTGGCCTTGGAAATAATACTTGTATTTAATTATTCGTAAATAATTTTTTGAGACTGCAACTACCAGGAATCGAACTAGCGTCCTGCCAAATTTGAAGCTCAGCCAATTGACCCAATGCCATACTTGACTTTTATGTTCGCACATTTTTCTGGAGCTTTGTTGCTTTGCTGTGAAAGTTTTATTAACAAATTATTCTACAAATAGTTGTAAAATAATTGAATTAATTAATTATATATTTTTATTTTTAATTGTTAAATTTCAATAATATATTGTTTGTAAAGGCATTATTTGTTGCATGAAATTATTTAATTTAATTTATTTATTTTTACTGAATAATATATTAAATATATAATATCCTGTTAAAGACAATTGCTTCTTGGTATAGTACTACAATTAAATAAAATTTGGTAAAAATGTATTATTGTCTTATAAAAATCATATTTGATCGTGATTTAATGATAATGAATTGATAATGTGAAATCTCCCTAACGCCCCTTTTCATAAGTACCTACTAAATTAATAATTACTATAAAAAAAATTTTATTTTCTATTAAATTATAGCTATGTTACTTTATCTGAATTATCTGTTATTGAATTATTTTATAAAATTGATCAGATTACGGATATTAACGACAATCAACATCAAATCAAATCAGTCAAGAGAACTTACAAACATTACTATACAGTAAAGATACTATTTTCTATTCATACGAATGTGAAAATCATAAATACATATATAAAGAAAGTATATAGAAAATGTATATAAATATATACACTCAGAACTTACCCCAATATAACTAATTCACCATATCGCACTCGTGGTTTATCATGTCCATCAGCATCGGCTTCTGCAAGAATTGGAGATTCTGTGCCGTCAGTACTAGAAATAAAAAAGTAAAAAATATATCGTGTTAAATATTTGAATATTAAATTAGCATAAATTTAAAAAAAAATTAGTTATAAAATTAGTTAGTTAGTTATAATTTAATTAGGATAAGGCAGTCTTCAAACAAAACTATTTAATGAGAAATCAATTAAAAACTAAAGCTTCTTATTTTAATATCGACTAATTAATTTAAGTTGATTCAATTAGTCTAAAAGCTGATTTCTTAATCGTAATTAAAGACTTAATACTGACTTAAATCATGCTTAAGTAATCAAGTATGCTTATTTCATACTTTAGTCAGTTTTTGGACTTAAAGTCTAATTATCTAATCGGTCTTAAAAGTGTCTTAGGAAGTTGAACGCATTTATAAAAACAAAAACAGTGTAGCTCGATATGACACTCGGGCATATAAATTTTTTCCGGATCCTTTTTTAATATTTTTTAATACAATATATTATAACATTTTTGTTATTTTGTATTAATAAAAGTTATAATAAAAGTTATTATATATACATATAATGAAATTATAAATATATATAATAAAATAATAAATATATATACTAAAATAATAAATATATATAATAAAATATATATATTGTATATAATAAAAGTTATTATATATTTATAATTGCATTTTTAAAGAGAAGTAGGAAAAGAAACGAAAATATTTACATTATTATCACTATTTTTTAAAGTCTTCACTTTTCCCTGAAATCAATTATTA